CATGCGTTTGTGTCGAACCTTCATATCACGCGCGCGTTTTGTATCGACCCACAGAGAGGAAGTGGATTCTCGGACGCAGCGAGTTACGTAATATATCCGGATGAGCGTAATATATCCGAGTGAGCATTCGTTTGTGGAGTTAGGGAAGAATGAAGAAAGAAGCGAGTAGATATCACTAGCGTCAAATGGCCGGAGATAAAAAGACGAGCTACAATGGCACGATGAATGTTCCAGACCGATAACGTGCTGACTCTCAGTAACGCGTATGTATAGCGCACAATTTTTGTTTCCTAATGTATAATAATTTCCGCTATGATATTAGATCTCTTAGGTTTTTTTTTCTGTGGCTGAACTAGTACACTTTTGAAACTTAAAGTGAGATAGGTATATGTTTGATATTTGACGCAAAAGCGAGAAAGAGAATTCAGAAATAAAAAATAGATCTATTAAAAAAAACAAAAGATATTTGTGAGATTTTAAACAAACTTCAGACAAACGAATATTTCATTAGTCTATAGGAGAGGTTAGGGACAAACGTAACGTTTGCTTTTTTAATTTTATAACTTCTATAAGTTATGTAAAATTTTTCAACAAATCCTATACAATAGTAAATCTATATTATTAGACAACATAATTGAAACAAAAAACTAATAATATATTACATCAATTTTATAAAGTATAATTTGTTACTTCTTATTTTTATTCCTAGGAATAAAAGTAACACGCAATAAAATTGGGTAGAAACTGTAATACCCTGTTTAACTTTAAATATAATATGAATTAATAGGAAAGATGCTTCTAAAAGGATTTTTATTTACTCTATAAGTGAATATAAACACAATTAACACAATTGCGCTAATTTCGTAATTATCTGTCAAAAGTCAGATTCAATGAAGCATAGCAATATGCACGCATATTCATCATTCAAAAAATAGAGCATCGTGTGATACCATCGTAAGCAAAACGCATAGAAAAAATCGAATGATGGGACAAAGTAACATCTTGTTACCTTTTTCCTCATTAGCGGTATTTCTCATTAAGATATCATTACATGCTTATTTAACAAATTTTATACCTATCTTTAAAGTCTAATGTCTATTTAATATAAACAAAAACAGAGAGTTTGTATTGTCAATAACTAAGGTGAAGGAAGAGTGTGATTGACGTGTAAAAATGAAAGGAAAAAATTATTAGTCGATTGATATCTTTTCTATAACATCTTGTTATTTTTCATACATTTATCATGATACATTTCCCTGGTCTCCCCTACGCTGCACATCGAAGGTGATGATTACCGATCGAAGAGTACCATGGTTACTTTATGACTAACAATTGACTTAGGTATTGTTTCGATGTTGCAATTGCTTGCAGTTTTAAATGGAAACTGGCCGAGTGTAGATTGATAAAGAATCCTTATCAAATAATCTCGAAGACTATATACAAAAATAAATTCTCACAGTAAAGCTTGTGTTAACGCTAAGGTGTAAAGAGTAATCATTTTTGGATAATATAATTCAAATTGATATAAGTTGTTGCGAACTTTTATTTTACCGATAACGACAAATATGTCATTGAAATTTCAAAAATACGTAAAGTGCAAAGTGTGGCAAAAATGGCAGCTGTTTCATGCTACGGGCTTTCAATCGCTTATGTATCCTTGCTTCACCTTTAGCCGCATATTTGGAATATTTCCGTATCGCATCAACGCTTCAACTTTTGAAATTACGAAACAAAGCTATTTTCTGACAACCTTCATTACTTGCGTTTACTGTTTTTATGGACTAGTAATGCTGTACATGATAGACATTACTGGAACGATCAATTTTGGTACCATACCTCTACATCTTCAACGCAATTGTTTTTATGTACTTGGCGGGTTTATCGGGATTATTACGTACATTTTGAACAATCCTCGGATGCGCTTACTTCAAAATATAATGAAAATCTCTTTAAGACTGTCCCCTGATTCGTATCGAAAGCTATCTAAACTGATTCACGCTAAAGATATTTTTGGTATTATTTATTTAATTGGACGAGCAACATTTTATTATTTTATAATAGATCATGGTATCGCAGACAAGATTCTTGTACAGTACATCACTTTTGTAATATTTCAAATGGATATGTTGTATATAAATTGCGTATGCGTATTAAAAGCCTGTTTTAAGGAAGTCAATAATAATGTAAAGAATTTACAAAATCTCGTTATAAGCGACGAACCGCATCTTTTGAGGAGAATTTATCACGAACAGAGATATCCATTCTTTCTAACGAAACTTAAAATTTTGAGAAAAAAGCATTTGGTGATCAGTGACACAGTGCAAATGTTGAATACGATTTTCAGTCTACAGCTTCTTGCTACTATAGTTATAACTTTTACTGAAATTACCTTTTCTCTATATTTTTATATAAATCATTGGATAGATAACATGAAAATAAACTATACGTTTTATAGTATGTTATTGATAATATCTTTGACGTATCAATGCACCAAAATAGTATTGATGGGATGGGCTTGTGATACAGGCAAGGATGAGGCCATAAGGGTCGGTATCAATGTCCATGAAATACTGAATAATATTATGGATGAACAAATCAAAGATGAAGTAAATAAAACAATAAAATTTGATTTGTACATTTTTCTGAAAATATTTCGCATGTCAAACTTTATATATTAAATCTGTGTTAGTAATTATTTCTTAATTTTGTACTTAATTATCTTCTAATCTGATATTTTATAGTTGCAGCTGTTTTCCTTGCAAGTACTAAATCGAGAAAATACATTTTCCGCTAAGGGTCTTATACTAGATGCAACGCTTCTCGTTGCGGTGAGTGAATAATTATTTGTTTTAGATAATGTGCATTGCTTATTTATATATAATTTTAATTTTAGATAGTAAGTAACATAACTACATATCTATTAATTTTAATACAATTTTTAATTACCGATCAAGTTTGCAATAAAAAGATTACAAACGATATCGCATAAACAATTTAATTAAGAGATGATAATCAAATAAAAAAATAAAAAATATATATTTAAATATAAAACGTATTCTCTTGTGTATATTTTAGCATTAGATATATGTGAATGTATATGTGTATATAGAAACAAAACCTTATATGTTAATTGTAAAAATAAATTTTTATTGTATGGAAGTCTCTTATTTGCTTATATGTACTGTATGTCAAATATAATAAATACATTTGTAAGAAATATCGTCTTAATAATATGATTTAACTTGAGGTTAAAATTTAATGGTATTTTTTTATTAACCCTGGCTAATATCTGTTTTGATTAGGTATGCGTATAGCGCGCAATTTTTATTTTCTAATAATAATTTCCGATACAATATTAAGTTTCTGTTTCCTGTGGTTGAACTAGTATACACTTTTGAAACTTAAAATGAAATAGATATATGTTTGATATTTGACGAAAAAGCGAGAAAAAGAATTTTAGTGCAATCCATATAGTGCAGAAATAAAAAATAGATCTATTGAAAAGCATTAAAAAAACAAGAACTATCTTGAGTGAGATTTTAAACAATCTTCAAAGAAACGAATATTCTATTAGTCTATAGGAGAAACTAGGAATAAACGACGTTTGTCTTTTCGATTTTATAACTTCTATAAGTTATAAAATTTTTCAATAAATCCTATACAATAGTAAATCTATATTATTAGACAACATAATTGAAACGAAAAATTAATAATATATTACATCAATTTTTCTAAAGTATTATTTGTTATTTTTTATTTTTATTCCTAGGAATAAAAGTAACACGCAATAAAATTGGGTAGAAACTGTAATACCCTGTTTAACTTTAAATATAATATTAATAGGAAAGATGCTTCTAAAGGGATTTTTACTTACTCTATAAGTGAATATAAACACAATTAACTCAATTGCGCTAATTTCGTAATTATCTGTCAAAAGTCAGATCGAATGAAGCATAGCAATATGCACGCATATTCATCATTCAAAAAATAGAGCATCGTGTGATATCGTAAGCAAAACGCATAGAAAAAATCGAATGGGACTAAGTAACATCTTGTCACCTTTTTCCTCATTAGCGGTATCTCTCATTAAGATATCATTACATGCTTTTAACATAACAAATTTTATACCTATCTTTAAAAATCTAATGTCTATTTAATACAATGCAAACAAAAACAGAGAGTTTGTATTGTCAAAAACTAAGGTGAAAGGAAGGGTGTGATTGACGTGTAAAAATGAAAGGAAAAAATTATTGGTCGATTGATATCTTTTCTATAACATTTGTTATTTTTCATATTACATTTATTGTGAAACATTTGTCTCTGGTCTCCCCTACGTGGTCTCCCCTGCTCTGCATATCAAAGATGATGATTACCGATCGAAGAGCACCATGGTTACTTTAAGACTAACAATTGGCCACTTATTGTTTCGATGTTGCAACTGCTTGCAGTTTTAAATGGAAACTGGCCGAGTGTAGATTGATAAAGAATCCTTATCAAATAATCTCGAAGACTATATACAAAAATAAATTCTCACAGTAAAGCTTGTGTTAACGCTAAGGTGTAAAGAGTAATCATTTTTGGACAATATAATTCAAATTGTTATATGATATAAGTTGTTGCGAACTTTTGTTTTACCGATAACGACAAATATGTCATTGAAATTTCAAAAATACGTAAAGTGCAAAGTGTGGCAAAAATGGCAGCTGTTTCATGCTACGGACTTTCAATCGCTTATGTATCCTTGCTTCACCTTTAGCCGCATATTTGGAATATTTCCGTATCGCATCAACGGTTCAATTTTTGAAACTACGAAACAAAGCTATTTTCTGACAACCTTCATTACTTGCGTTTTCTGTATTTATGAACTAGTAATGCTGTACATGATAAACATTACTGGAACGATCAATTTTGGTAACATACCTCTAACTCTTAAACGCAATTGTTTTTATATACTCGGCGGATTTATCGGGATTATTACGTACATTTTGAACAATCCTCGGATGCGCTTACTTCAAAATATAATGAAAATCTCTTTAAGACTGTCCCCTGATTCGTATCGAAAGCTATCTAAACTGATTCACGCTAAAGATATTTTTGGTATTATTTATTTAATTGGACGAACAACATTTTATTATTTTATAATGGATCATGGTATCGCAGACATGATTCTTGTACAGTACATCACTTTTGTAGTATTTCAAATGGATATGTTATATATAAATTGCGTATGCGTATTAAAAGCCTGTTTTAAGGAAGTCAATAATAATCTAAAGAATTTACAAAAGCTCGTGATAAGCGACGAACCGCATCTTTTGAGGAGAATTTATCACGAACAGAGATATCCATTCTTACTAACGGAACTTAAAGTTTTGAGAAAAAAGCATTTGGTGATTAGTGATACAGTGCAAATGTTGAATATGATTTTCAGTCTACAGCTTCTTGCTACTATAGTTATGACTTTTGCTGAAATTACCTTTTATCTGTATTTTTATATAATTAATTATATAGATAACACGAAAATAAACTACATGCTTTATAATATGTTATTGATAATATCTTTGATGTATCAATGCACCAAAATATCATTGATGGGATGGGCTTGTGATACAGGCAAGGATGAGGCAATAAGGGTCGGTACCAACGTCCATGAAATACTGAATAATATTATGGATGAACAAATCAAAGATGAAGTAAATAAAACAATAAAATTTGATTTGTACATTTTTCTGAAAATATTTCGCATGTCAAACTTTATATATTAAATCTGTGTTAGTAATTATTTCTTAATTTTGTACTTAATTATCTTCTAATCTGATATTTTGTAGTTGCAGCTGTTTTCCTTGCAAGTACTAAATCGAGAAAATACATTTTCTGCTAAGGGTCTTATACTAGACGCAACGCTTGTCGTTGCGGTGAGTGAATAATTATTTATTTTAGATAATGTGTATTGCTTATTTATATATAATTTTAATTTTAGGTAGTGAGTAACATAACTACATATCTATTAATTTTAATACAATTTTTAATTACCAATCAAGTTTGCAATAAAAAGGTTACAAACGATATCGCATAAAAAATCTAATTAAGAGAAGATAATCAAATTAAAAAATAAAAAATATATACTTAACGTATTTATATAAAACGTATTCTGTTGTGTGTATATTTTAGCATTAGATATATGTGAATGTATATGTGTATATAGAAACAAAACCTTATATGTTAATATTTAATAGTAAAAATAAATTTTTATTGTATGGAAGTCTTTTATTTGCTTATATATACTGTGTGTCAAATATAATAAATACATTTGTAAGAAATATCGTCTTACTAATATGATAACTTGAGGTTAAAATTTAATGGTATTTTTTTATTAATCCTAGCTAATATCTGTTTTGATTGGATACGTGTATAGCGCGCAATTTTTATTTTCTAATAATAGTTTCCGCTACAATGTTAGGTTTCTGTTTCCTGTGGTTGAACTAGTATACACTTTTGAAACTTAAAAAAAGATAGATTATTTAAAATGAGATAGGTATATGTTTGATATTGGACGGAAAAGCGAGAAAAAAAATTTTAGTGCAATCCATATAGTACAGAAATAAAAAATAGATCTATTGAAAAGCAAAAAAAAAACGAGAACTATCTTGAGTGAGATTTTAAACATTTTAAATCTCCAGAGAAACGAATATTCCATTAGTCTATAGGAGAAACTAGGAACAAACGATGTTTGTCTTTTCGATTTTATAACTTCTATAAGTTATGTAAAATTTTTTAATGAATCTTATACAATAATAAACCTATATTATTAGACAACATCAAAATTAACAATATATAATATTATATCAATTTGTCTAAAGTATCATTTTTTATTTTGTTTCTACCTCTAAGGATAAAAATAACACACAATGAAATTGGGTAAGAATTGTAATATCCTGTTTAACTTTAAATATAAAATGAATTAATAAGAGAGAGACTTCTAAAAAGATTTTTATTTATTCTGTGGGTATATAAGAATATAACACAGAATATAAACACAATTAACACAATTGTGCTAATTTCGTAATTATCTGTTAAACATCAGAGCGTAACATAGCAGTACGCACGCATGCTCACCATTCAAGAAATCGAGCATCGTGCATACGATTCCATCGTAAGCAAAACGTATAGAAAAAATCGAATGAGACAAAGTAATATCTTGTTATTTTTGTCCTCATTAGCGATATCTCTCATTAAGAGATATCATTATTTGCTCATCTAACATACAATCATAACAAATTTTATATCTATCTTTAAGTTTTTAGTATCTATTTAATACAACGCAAACAAAAACAGAGACTATTGTCAATAACTGGAAAAGGAAGGGTACGTGAAAGGGATTGACGTGTAAAAATGGAGGGAAAAAATTACTGATCGATTGATATCTTTTCTATAATGTTTGTTGCTTTCACATTATGCATTTCTCGTATTATATTTGTCCCTGGTCTCCCCTGCTCTGCATATCAAAGATGATGATTACCGATCGAAGAGCACCATGGTTACTTTAAGACTAACAATTGGCCACTTATTGTTTCGATGTTGCAACTGCTTGCAGTTTTAAATGGAAACTGGCCGAGTGTAGATTGATGAATCCTTATCAAATAATCTCGGAGGCTACATACGGAAAGAAATTCTCACAGTAAAGCTTGTGTTAACGCTAAGGTGTAAAGAGTAATCATTTTGGACAGTATAATCCAAATTGTTATATGATATAAGTTGTTGAGAACTTTTATTCTACCGATAACGACAAATATGTCATTGAAATTTCAAAGATACACAAACTACAAAGTGTGGCAAAAATGGCAGTTGTTCCATGCTACGGACTTTCAATCGCTTATGTATCCTTGCTTCATCTTTAGCCGCATATTTGGAATATTTCCGTATCGCATCAACGGTTCAACTTTTGAAACTACGAAACAAAGCTATTTTCTGACAACCTTCATTACTTGCGTTTTCTGTATTTATGAACTAATAATGCTGTATCGGATAGACATTACTGGAACGATTGATTTTGGTATCATACCTGTAACTCTTGAACGTAATTCTTTTTTTATACTCGGCGGGTTTATCGGGATTGTTACGTACATTTTGAACGGTCCTCGGATGCGCTTACTTCAAAATGTAATGGAAATCTCTTTGAGACTGTCTTCTGATTCGTACCGAAAGCTATCGCGACTGATTCACGCTAAAGATATTTTCGGTCACTTTTTTGTAATCGGACGAACAATATTGTATTATTATATGATAAATTTAGGTATCATAGACAAGATTCTCGTACTGTACATCAATTTGATAGTATTTCAAATGGATATGTTGTATATAAATTGCGTATGCGTATTAAAAGCCTGTTTTAAGGAAGTCAATAATAATTTGGAGAATTTGCGGAAGCTCGTGATGAGCGACGAACTACATCTTTTGAGGAGAAATTATCATGAGCAGAGAAATCCAGTCTTACTAATGAAACTTAAAGCTTTGAAAAAAGAGCATTTGATGATAAATGACACAGTGCAAATGTTGAATACTACTTTCAGTCTACAACTTCTTGCTACCATAGTTATGACTTTTGTTGAGCTTACCTTTTATCTATATTTTTATATGATGTATTGGCAAATTAAGAAGAAAATAAATAATCATACGTTATTTGATACATTTTTGACAATATCTTTAATGTATCATTGCATCAAAATATCATTGATGGGGTGGGCTTGTGATACAGGCAAGGATGAGGCCATAAGGATCGGTATCAACGTTCATGAAATACTGAACGATACTATCGATGAACAAATCAAAGATGAAGTAAATAAAACAATAAAATTTGATTTGTACATTTTTCTGAAGATATCTTGCGTGCCAAATTTTATACATTAAATCTGTGCAGTTAGTAATTATTTCTTAATTTTGTACTTAATTATCTTCTAATCTGATATTTTGTAGTTGCAGCTGTTCTCCTTGCAAGTACTGAATCGGGAAAATATATTTTCCGCTAAGGGTCTTATACTAGATGCAACGCTTCTCGTTGCGGTGAGTGAATAATTATTTGTTTTAGGTAATATGTATTGCTTATATATAATTTTATATATAATTTTAATTTTATATAATTTGTATTCTTAATTGTGCGTACCAGAATGGAGGTGCAAGTTATTAGTATAACCGGTGAATTTTTTAAATGAAATATAGAAAGCAGTTTTGTTAATATAGAATGGGATA